TTTTAGAAACTTGGCAAAGGGGTGTTAAAAAAAATTTATCATAGTAATTATATTTAGTGCATGATGACATAATTCTGAGGCTATTTAGAGTGACAATCAAAACAAGAACAAAGTTGAAATTCGCTTTTGTAAAAATCAGTTTAATATTCATTATTTTTGTCTTTATCACTGCAGTGGCATACTTTAGTTACATACTTAGGCACTACTTAAAATAGTTACATGCATTTAGAAATTACATATAATGTACAGTTAAAATAATCAGGGGTATTTCAAGTCCCTTTCTCTAACTTCTTGAAGAATGTTGTTTATTAAGCTGGGGCCCTATAAAACTTTTTGGTTGTATTCATTTTGTTTAAATAGCACTGAGTTGAACTCAAGGCCTTGTGCATGGTAGATAATATGCATTCTACCATTAAGCTACATTCCAGGCCTGTAAATTTTTTTAGTACTAAAAAATGTAAGGGTTTAGACCCGGGTGTGATAGTATATCTGTCACCCCAGCAGTCTAGGAGGCTGAGGCAAGAGGACAAGTTCAATCCCAGCCTGGGAAAATTAGCAAATTTATCAGGTCCTGTCTCAAAAATTAAGGGGGTTGGGGATGTGGCTCTATGCAAAGGCACAAGTACTGAAAAACAAAACAATTTAAGTGTTTAAAAGGAGAACAACTTTGCTTAGCCACAGTCTCTTCTGTGTTTATTCTCACCTGCTTACAGAAGTTCTATGATTATGTAATTTAAATATACATGAACTACTGCAATAAGAATGCAAAAAACTTTCTACTTTGAACAAAAGCACACCATTCGGAAAGACTTAGTAAAGGCAAAGAGTTAAGTCAGACTGCTTAAGTAGGTATGGAAAACACAACTGCAGAGAATGAGTAAATTTTCTTTTCACAAAAATCTAGTGGACGTTGGAGCTGGGGATTTAGCTCAGTGGCATGCGCCTGCCTTGCAAAGTGCAAGGTCCTGAGTTTGATCCCTAGTGTCCCCCAAAATCCAGTGGATTTCAATGCTCAAGTTTCTTTGCACATATTTTTAAAATCTCTCAACTACCCTTTAAGGAAATCAAAACAACATGTTTGAATAGTTAAAAAAAAACAACCACTGTCAGTGGCTTCTCAAAGGCTTTATTCCTACATCAAAAGATTGGCTTATGCCTGGCATAGTGGTGCATACCTTTAATCCTAGCTTTCTAGGAAGACCAAGGCAGGAGGACTGAGTTTGAGCCCAATGTCCACAATTTAGCTTAGCAGACTGTCTGCAAAAAAAAAAAAAAAAAAAAAAAAAAAAA